TAATCGTTCAGGAGGAGTCATTTCAATGAACTTTTTGCAATAGTAGATCGGATGTTTATCTGTATTACAAACTTTACATAGATCTGAACAAACCATAGTTACGGCTATCCTTTTGTTGGGTTTATATACTGCATTGTCTCGTAGACCTATAGCCTCAAGTGACTGAAATTTCAATTCTAAAAATTCTAAGAATTGTTTTATTGTGGGCATCTCCCTTGGGTTAGTAAGAGTTTGTACAAAACTGCAATGTGTATTTTTATCCAACTTTTTTAGTAGTATGTGAACTAAAATTGGATCCCAAGTTGATGTTTCAATATTTAAATTATGAAGTTCACATAGACTTTCCTTTGTTGTGTCATGCATATTTTTAATGGCTTGGACTGTTGGATGGTCATATAAAGAGTTTTGAGATGTCAAACGTTGCAAAACTGCTGATACTAGAACTCTTTTATTCTCATATCTACTTTGTAGTAATTGCCATGCCGTCTCATAATTTGCTTCCAGCTCTTGAGTTATTGTGGTGATATATTTGTTACCCAAATTTATGATTACCATGCCGTAATCTTGTGTGAAATATTCCGATGTTCTTGCTAGTACATCGGCTTGTTGTAGTCGCTCATCATTAGCCTTGAAGTCAGCTAATAACTGTTCTAAAGTTGTTTTACGATCTTCGAGATATTGACGTGTTTTCCTGCTGGGTGAGTCCTTCTTGAAGTTGCGAATGATTCTGTCGATCTCTGAACCAATTGAATCCTGCTGGTCAGTTAAAGTGGATATTGATTTTGGATCCATGGTTATTGTATTTCCGTTGAAAACAGTTGTTTTCAATGAAGGTTTTTGTAAACGCTGCTGGCTCACACTGAGTTGATCTTGCCAATCACGTCGGGGTCACCAATGTAATACCACGTAATCTGAGGTGGTATCAAATAATGTATTTTCTTACTTCGTTACACTGACTATTAGGCACATAAACCAATAATCAGGTATTTATGACGAAAGGCTTGCAGGCACATAAACCGCTAGCCAAGTAAGTAAATAATTTTTATTTATTGCTACAGTGGTTAAAAGGCACATCTACCAATAACCAAATTTTGTTTTTGAAGGAAAGACGATTGTTTTCGCTCTCGAGTTTTATTATCAATATTGTTACCTTATATAGTATAGAATTACTTACTAAGCATAATAATATTTACAATTATTGATAACTAAAATAATAATTTAAATTTCACATATTACTGCATAAGCATAAATACAATATGTGAAGCTATTGAACTTATAAACGTAAACAATGTATTTAATATTTACAATATTTATTTGCTGCATAAGTGTAACTACAAGCGAGCTAAAATATGTTAGGTTTGTTAAACTTAACAAGCATTGTTTCGGTTTATTAAAAGAGAGATTCAGCAGTTTAAAAGAACTAAAATTGCAAATTAAAAGCAATAACAGCATTCACGAAGCAACGCGTTGGATATATGTTTGCGCTATTTTACATAATATTACAATACAAAAAAATTGTAGTGATGAGTTTTCATATTTTTTTGTAAATCTTACATATATTTTATATTTCTATATTACATTAATTTAATTTTTAAAACTTACAACTAAAACTATATATATTTTTATGTAAATCCTATATATATTTTATATTTCTATATTACATAAATTTAATTTTTAAAACTTATAACTAAAACTCTTATTTAAATTTTAAAATTTATTATGTAATATTTTTATGTAAATCCTATAAATATTTTATATTTCTATATTACATAAATTTAATATTTAAAACTAATAAATAAAACTATTATTTAAAACTATATATATACAACGAAAATTTAAAATGAAATCATATAAAAATATAATTTTTCTGAATATTGAAATATTTGTTGTTGTTATTTTAATCAATATCCAACGTTACTTTTACAATTTCTGATTTTTGTATTTCAAATCAATTTCGTATTTTTTGAGTTCAAACTCAAGTTTTAATTTTTCCAGCTCCAATTCCTTGTGAGCTTCTAATTCCATTTTTTTTATTTGCAGAGCTTGTGCTCTGTCTAATTCGGCGTTTTCCTTCATAATTTTTAGTTTCTGTTCCTCCATTTCGATTCTGCGTTGTTGTAGTGCAATAATCGAGGATGTAGAATCGCGTTGTGCGTAAATAGATCTTTTTCGGTTCATTCCGCGCATTCTAGATGATGTTGATGGAGTTGGAGAATCTTTCACTGCACCGGCCGAATCGGTTTCATTTCGGACATTTCTGGGCATAGCAATGGCTTCTACTTCTACTTCTGGTGGGTTTAAAAGACACTCCACAGAAACATCAGATTCCACAATGTTGACGTTCACATTGCTACGTCTGCCAAAAATGTCATACAGCTAATCGAATTTTGGGCATATCTTTAACACGTGTTCTGCAAATGTTATCATAATTATTTAAGCACATTTTAAGAATGCATTAAACTTATTGCCTGTGACACTTCTCTCCCCCATATCTGCTGTAAGACCAGCGCCAGTGCTCTTCTTCCACTCCATAGTGGAAATGAAACCTGTCTTTAGGTACCGCATTTTGTTTTTTAAAACAAGAAAATTAAGGCCACTGAAACTATTACTTTTGGCCATTATTTTTAAGTAAAATAATTGCGCAGTTGGTTTCTATATTGTAAACACAAATAAGAACATTACTTTATCGTACTAACTACTACAATATTACACTTACCTCAAAACTTTCTTGTGCATCTGTTACTGCATCAACTACCAAATGCAATAATTCCTGCATTTCCACATCTCCCCACTTAAACGCTTCAGAGTAACGCATGCGTTTGGATGCTGGTGCTTTATCCTAAAAAAACAATTAATGCATTTAATATTTGAATGGGAATATTATAACATACTTTGAACTACTTACTTGACTTTCCATTTTATTTGTTTTTATATTTATTATCACTTTATAAGAAATTTTTTAAATTTGATATGATATTACAAAATACTTGTGTTTGCAAAATTGTTTACACACAATTCAAACAGCTGTGAGAGACAGCTAACAAATTTCTATACAAAAGTTCATTTTAAGTTATTATTACGACACTTGGTACTGGTAGCACTATTAATCAAATTTGTACTAATCTGAGAATAACCGAAATAGTTGATTCTCTGCTTAGTTTCATTTTTGTGTGCAAATTTTTGTTGTAATCAACTACTAAGCAACGAATCAGTTGCCTGAATACCCCTATTGAATTTAGCGTGAATAAAATTATTTATATAATTTCAAACTTGTAGATCACTAGTGAATACTAAGTGAGCACTGTTTTAGATTTCTTGCAATTTTCTTATAACTTTTTGCTTTTATTTTAATGATTGTGTTTAAGATTCATTCATGTATTGTATTTTTTAATGAACACAGAAATTAAAAAATTCCTTAAAAAATTCTTAACTTATCCATAATTACTAACCTGAGAGTCATTTTCACAAATTTTATTAAAAAAATTATTTTTTCAAAACATTTAAATTTACTCATGAACACTCGCAACGGTTGTAAATAATCAACATTTCCTTCTAAAAATCATTCACAATAGATCAGTTTTAGGATTTGGCACCATTGTAGTGCGACAGCCTTATTGGTTATGTATTTTCAAAAAAGTGGACTTATTTTTGCAAATTTTGTTTTTGATTTGCATGTTAATTTTTAAGCGACACGGAGCATTCATGTTGTGGATGCACCTTCAATAGGGTGTCATCAGAGTCAGGTCGACCGGCAGAAAATGGAGAGCGCGCATGTAAGAGAGGCGCAGGAGATAAACCGGTCGATTCTGACGAGGTTTTTCGAACAACGTGTGCGGTTGAGGGAGATCTTGAAAGAACCTCGTGGTAGCAGTAGCAGTTGGGAATAAGCGATTGAAGCGAACAGTAAAAAACGAGAAATAAAAAGACCGTGAATAATTCCTTCTAAAGTAGAAGTTTTACAGTAGAAGTTTTTAATATATTTAATACAATTATAATACGAATTAAATATTGCAATGAAATCTGTAAATATATATATAATCAAGAAGGTGGGGAGTTTGGATTGGCAACCCTATTGAATGATATCTAATAAGTGCGCGCGCTGAAAAGTTTAATGAAAAATTTAAGTTGTATCGTGAGAAACTAATGACAATTGGTTGATTACTGAAAATAAACGTTTGTGTAATTACTACGCGTTGGAATGTTGTGCAAAAATTTGACAATAATATAATTTTATTTATTGAGACTTCAGTGGACAAACTAACGTTGTATTTAACAACAGTAAAAAACCAAATATACACAAAAGTGCTTACGATCAGTGGAACTTAAAATTATATTCAGCGTTAAGCTCGATACAAAATTATAGAAAATATACTAAGTATAAAGCTCTGAGTGGTTCTTGTCTGTGCTGTCGGGTTTGTGTATCAAACCGAATTTTATGCTTTCAAAGAAAACACAAGCAGAATTTAAAAAATTAAAAAATTAACTTTTCAGTTATATCATAATATAAAATAAAACATATATATATAAAATGCCAGTTGAAAGATCGCCACCAGCAGACGCAAAAAACGCCACAAGTAAATCGGACCTGTGCACACCGAATAGGCAAGCACAGAGGCAAGAAAAACGTATGCGATCTGAGCTTTCGCCAGACTTATCGCTCGGTGATGTTATGCTGGCTATTCAGCAAATGACGGATAAATTCGAATCGAATATTGCAGGCTTGAGTAACAACTTTGATTCCCAAATAGCTACGCTAGCATCAAAGAGTGACATAGGCGAACTTAAAGAACAGATAGGCAACGTGTCTGTGAAAATGGAAAAATTGGAGAACGAGAACCAAAGGCTGAAACTAGAATAGAACAATTAAGAAATGATAGAGATGAGGACAGGAGGGAGATTGAAAGACTTGTCGAACAAAGTAAAAGTCGTAATGTACTATTGAAAGGTTTACTAAAAGATAAAGCAAAAAAAGTGATGTGGAGGCAATTTTCCGAGATAAAATGGCTATGACAAGTATTAAAGTTCGAGACACAAAAGTAATATTTGAAAAGAAAAATAAAGTGAGTGTAATTGCAGAATTGGAAACATCAGAAATGGCAAAAGATGTCTTAAAGAATGGTAAAAAACTGCATGGCACTCCGATTTATATTGAAAAGGACTTGAGCTTGACTAGACAGGAAAATAAATCAGCTTTATTACAGCTGAAAAGAGATCTTGAAGCCAACAGAAAGACTCACAAAATTTATGTTAAAAATGACAGTATAAATATATCAGGAAAATGGATGCACTTTGATAAAAACAAGAAACTAAAGTGCAAAGATGGTGACGCTGTTGAACAATTAAAGCAATTGTATGGTGAGATTGAAGTGGAAGAAGTGTTCGAGAAAAACAAGCTTTTTAAAAAAATAAATCAGCCAAAAAACTGTTAGTACAAAAGGAAATCGTTAAAGATGCCAAACAAAAAATTGAAAAAAATGCAAATGCCGCCAGATCAGACACTAAATTAGCATATAAATTTAAAATATTATCGTATAATGTAGCTGGTTTAGCAAATAAGTATAAGTTTATAGAATTTATGAAGTATGTTAAAAAATTCGATATATTTGTATTATTTGAAACATTTTTAGTAAGTAAGACAGATTATATTGAAAACACATTTATAGAATACAATCTTCATTGGGTGCCTGCAACAAGAACAACAAATAGAGGTCGAGCCAGTGGAGGAAAATTGTATGGTGTACGAAAGCAATTGCAATTTTGCGGTACTGTGGTGTTCAAGCACATTATGAACTCAACAATAATCGAGATAACCACTAATAATCAAAAGTTGTGTTTAATCCCAGTTTACCTAAATTGCAATAACTGGCTAAATGATATCAACAACTTATGTGAAATATTAGTGGAAGCTCAGAACGAAAATGTCATGATAATAGGTGACTTCAATGCACGAATAGGCAAAGAACAATGTCTGGAATTCCACCCAAATATGCAGTGGGCTGAATTATTGGGCCACAGAGTAGCAATGGATACAATTGTAGATAGAAATGGCAAACAATTACTAGAAATTTGCAATTCATTTGGTGTCACCGTGTTAAATGGCCGCACTAAAGGCGACAGAGAGGGTACATTTACGTTTATCAGAGGTGTAGCAAGGTCAACGATAGATTATTGTTTTGTGAAAGGAGTATGGTTATTAATAACTGAAGAGTTTCAAATACGTGACATGATATACTCGGATCATCAGCCACTGGAAATTATGGTAAATCTAGATGCCTCTAATTCAAATGAAAATAAAATGCAGTTGCTACCGAAACTGATATGGAAAGATAAATATAAAGATCTGTACCAAGAAAAGCTTGAAGAATCCCTTAATGCATGCGAAGGTAGTACATTTGCGTCGAAGGAAGGAGATGACATTCTTCAATATTGTGTAAAACAAGCAGCAAAATCGTTTCAGGGTAATTCGGCGGGTATAAATAGGAAACAAAAGTGGTATGATTTTGAATATGAAACTGCAAGAAAGAAATCATTTAAATGGCTACAAACAGTTAAAAAAGGTGGTGATATAGCTGATTTAGAGAAATACAAAAATGTAAACAGAGAATACAAAAAGCTGTGTGATGAGAAAAGGAAGTCATATTTCAATGAAATGGCAATGTCGATATCCCAAGCAGCTGATAGTAAATCATTTTGGAGTGGAGTTAAAAAATAAATCGTGCAGATTACATAAAAGGAATTAAAGTGGACGCCGAAGCTTTGGCGGCACATTTTAAAAACCAGTTAAATAGCAATATAGTAAGCAAGTCTTTCAGTTATACCCTGCCGTATGTAATAAATGAAGCGTTAGATGCTCCAATAAAGATTGAAGAGGTCTATGCAGTGCTCCAGAATTTAAAAAATAACAAAGCCGCAGGTGAGAACAGAATTCCAGCTGAGTTTTTAAAATATGCCACGCCACAATTTATAGAGCATATGGCTGAATCATACAATTATATATTTGAAAATGCAGCCCCACCTGATAGTTACAAAAAAGCCATAACATTTCCCCTATTTAAAAAAGGTGACCCAAATAATGTAGCAAATTATAGAGGAATAGCATTTCTTAATACATCAGCTAAAGTATTTACAACACTCCTGTATAACAGAATTAAAAATTGGGTTGATCAAAACAACATATTAAGCGAATTTC